TCTAGTGATTTGCTGGCAAGTTAACGTGCCATCTGTCATTTAACTGACGGAAGGACCATTTTGGTACCGAAAATGAAAGTCTGAGGATAATTTTGATACTTTTTAAAGGTGAGGGACAATTTTGGTGCCAAAGTGAAAAGTTGAGGGACCAAAATGGTACTTAAACCTAAAAGAAACAAATAACCAAATAAACAAAAAGAAAATGAAACATAACTCACTTTCATAGGAATTTCGAGTGCATTTAGTATGTGCAGTAAGCCTTTAAACTCCTGGGTCACCCTAGTGGACGAGTTGTGTCTCGTAAGGGTTTTCAACGGATCTACCCACAAAATCCCAATGCAAGAGTGTAATTACATGATATGGATGCGAAGAAAATTTAGGAACTAAAATTCAATTAGATACAAGCTCCAAAATATTTGAGAGTTCTCATACACTCACTTAAAGTCAAATAATCCATCTTATTCTTCACACCACTTATCAAAGATTTAGCTCATGAGCACTTAGTGTGTGTGTGAAAATTTCTAGTAAGAAGTTTTAAGTTTAGACCTTCACACTTTAGTGCTTACTACTACTACTACTACTACTACTACTACTACTACTATTATTATTATTATTATTATTATTATTATTATTATTATTTTGTGTTGGGTTTCCTTAGGCTTTCTAAGTTACCCATTCAATGAGCTTTTTGCTAATAACTCTCAAACTAGTTGGCATTAGGGCATTAGGTGAAGAGACACCCCTAGGAACATATTTAAGTAACAAAGGCCACGAAACATTCAACTTTTTTTTTTTTTTTTCTAGCCACACAACACATTCTTCCCAAAGCTATCACTTGTTTTTTGATGTGAATACTAATATTTGTGACGAAAGCTCCTGATCACTCAACAAGTCATAAACTCAAAGTGCTTTGCATACTCATATTTCAAGTCACTGTTTGGTGTGAAAGTTGATATGGATCTCATGCCTAAGCCCCAGTTACTAAACAACTAGAAACATTGGAGTAGAAATTAACCAACTTTTTTGTGTGTTGGCTTCTTTTTTTCTCTTTCTTTTTTTTTTTCTAATTTTGTTTATTCTTTTATGTGCTTTTTAGGTGCTAATAAGTCTTCTATCTAAACTTCTCACTACAAACTTGTGCTTAAGTAGAATAGAATACTCATGAACTTAAACTTTATCACGATGGTGCTATTTTTTAGATTTTGTATCTCTTTTAAGATTTGAAGATTTTACCAATTTTTGAATTTCCAACTCAAGAATATCCAATTCCTTGACACTAATTGGACCAACTCTTAAAAAAATAATTACCCTAATTTCTAAAAAGAAAAAAAAGAGGATGTCAAGCAAATATGAATGCAAACTAATGTAAGAATGGACACCTAAAAGTTATTCTCTCCCCCAAATTTAAATCAAACATTGTCCTCAATATAAAATAAAAGTAAAAGAAAAGAGAAAGTTCCCAAGTGTTGCACTTAAAAATTTAATTTTTGAAGTTGAGTTCTTTTCAATTTGAAACTTCAAGCATGTGAATTTCCATAATGTTGTCCCTCAAACTTGTTCAATGCCTTGGCCAAATTCAAAGAACAACAATTTATGCATTAAACTGCACCATAAAGAGAAAAAACTAATAGTAAAGAAATCTAAACTATTAAAATAAAGACAAAGAAAACAAGAAAATAAAAATTTATACTTGGGTTGCTTTCCAAGAAGCGCTTAATTTGTAGTCATTAGCTAGACTTTCTACCACTCCAAGGTGGTTTTGGATCAAGTTGTAAAGCATGTCCTCTCATTTTCTTAAATCTTGGCTTTCTTGCTCTTTAGTCAAATCCACCATAAAATTTTCTCCAATTACTATTCTATGGTGGTTTGGGTTTAGGCCAAGAGATGTGCCTTCTCAATTCTTCTAGGATTCCCCCCTTTGATTCCAAGGAAGATGAGGATGTGTTCAAGCAATTTATGTATTCTTTGATTGGGTTCTTTTCTTGAATAAGATAAATCTCAAATGGATCCTCATAAGTATTTTCTTGTAAAATCTCATCAACCATATCAATAACAAAATAATCATTCAAATTAGATTTGGTTAATGGAGACTCCCCATTGAACACTTCAAATGACACTCGAGCTTTGTCCTCTTCTTCTCTAGGGGCATCCTCTTGTTTAGTTTTTGCATGTATGCTTTCCACTTCTCCAAGCTATCTTTCAATCTCCAAGGTTAAAGTGTTTACCTCTTCTTTTTGATTGGTCATTTTTGCACTAGGTAACTCACCTTGTATTTCTTTAGCAACTAAGTTGAGTGAATAGTTTGATTGAACCTCCAAAATTTTATCTAAATATGTCTCCTCTTCTTAAGCTTGAAGCCTTGATTGTGGCTCCAATATATCTTCACTATCCCACAAGGAGTTTGGATAATTTATCAAATCGAAGTTGCATGTATTGGGATAATAATTGCATTGCTGGCTATTAAAATCACAAGAAAAATCAGCATGTTTGTTCGATGGTTTAAAATAGCAATCAAAACTAAAATGCTATAATTTGCATCATCGACAAGTAATATTAAATTGTTTTATTATAGCCTTCTTTAATTCAAACCTTTCAATAAATGCTTGAAATCATTCAAGTTTATCAACATCAATTTCTGCTTCCCAATTGATAGTTATTGCTTCAATTTGTGCCCTTAACTCTGGAGCAAGACATTGATAATTCATATCAGTATCTATGACAACCTAATCCATAATTAGACCTATAAAAATAAAAATAAAAGAAATGAAAAAAAAATCAAAGTAAAGCAATAAAAGAAAAGAAAACGTTCAAATTAAATCTAGAATTAACCGACTTCGATATTAATTAAATCAACAATCCTTGGCGATGGTGCCAAGAATTGTTGTGCTAAAATCACTCTAACAAGTGTACTAGTCACTTTAAATAATATAATGATAAGTGGAGTGTTGAACTCACGAGAATTGTAATTAACTAAGTACCAAAATAATTAATCTAAATTTATTTGAACAATCGAAAAAAATAAACTTTAATTAAAAATAATAAAAAAATAACAATTAAAATAAAACTAATCAAGATACGAGGTACTAAGACATTGACCTCACCATAATCAATGAATATAAATTTTGGATTAATATACTTCCAAAACCAATTTGTTGAGTGTTACTGTATGTGAGTTGGATTTCCCTAAATTAATTAATTAGCTTTCTCAAGTCAAGTTAACCCTTCCCTTACTTTTCATATTAATCATATATATATATATATATGTAATTTTAAACAAATAGGTGAGCATTAAATTCTACGGAAACCTTTAAGAAGGGCGAGTTCTTAACTCTCTTCTCTTCCTCCACTACCACATGTGATACTAATTACTTTCAGTTTCATAGTCTAACACACGGTTTATATTATTATTACTCTAATTTACGCAATTCTTTCTCAAGTTCATGCATAAATCACTAAATCAATTGAAAAGTGATCAGACTTTCAATACACTAAGTTCAATAATATAAATTCATTATGCAAAAGACTTTAATTGAAAGCATAAAATCACAAAATCTATAATAAATTGATTAGGTTACATCGTAGCCTTAGTAGAATAAATTAATTTATAATAAAAATAATAAAACCTAAAATTATGGTTATGGACATTTTTTTTTGGAATATGGCAACTTTGTATTCCTCCAAAATTCCCCTCAAAGGGGTATATACAAATTATACCCAGGCATCCCTAGTAAAAACAATCTTCTTCTCACTGTACTTACTGTTGTAATTTATAACGATGAACTACAATTCGAATCATTTCCTGCCTTTCTTTTCTAATACTAGAAAACAATCTGTTGTTTCTCTCCCTCCATATAAAATAAACAGTAACTACAAAGAGAGTTTTAAGCACTGCCTTACTTCTTAATATTGGCTTCCAATCCCAACTCTTTTGCCCAGCACAATGGCTCAAGCCTGTATGCAGTAAAACTTCATTCCAGATATGTCTTAACAACTTGCACTAGAAAAATAAATGGTGGACATCCTTCTCTCCATCCTCACAAAATAGGCACTTCCTATCAATTAACATGCCTTTATTACATAGCAAAGTTTTTGTTTTTAGCCTTTACTTCCCCAATAGCCATAGCATAAAGCTTTGACATGGTAAAATACAATTTGCCCAAATATTAGAACACCAGTTTACTTTACCACTTCTTTCTCTCAACAATTCATAACAATTTGATATAGAAAAAAATACTAGGTTTACCATTTGCTCTTATCCAAATTGCACAATCTTGGCATCTATGGAGTTGTACATGTTGAATACTTCTTGTAATCCTTGGATGTCTTCTCTTGAAGCTCATAGGAACATTCCACTCACATTGTGGTGCCCACTGTGCCACTGTCAAAGTTTGATCCCATGTTGAAATCTCATTGGCTAGTCCTTCCAGCTCAACTAACCTTCCAATCTCCATCCAACAGTCATAGAATAAAGAAGTTTGGTGCCCATCACCCACCTTCATCACTATATTTTGTTTTAAAAGTGGCCTCAGTTGTAACATCTTCCTCCATGAGCATGCACAATCTTGAGGAATGTTTGTTGCCCATACACTACCCCCTTTCAATTTTTCTTTTGCCCACTTAGCCCATAAGGAATCATGATCACTACAAATGGTCCACAAGTGTTTTGCCATTGTCGCCATATTCCAAATTTTAACTTGTTTAACCCCTAAACCTCCTTTAGACCTTGGAAGGAAGTCCTCCCATGAAACAAGGGCTAAACCTTGTTTATCCCAACTTTCAGACCATAGGAAATTCCTACATAATTGTTCAAATAGTTTAATAATTTTCCCTGGCAATATAAACATGCTGCTTTAAAAAACTTGCATTGGGAACAACACTGATTTGAGTAATTGGAGTCTCCCTGCAAAAGATAACAAATGGTTTCCCTATGCATCCAACTTCCTTTTGAGCTTTTTAATTAATGGTTGACAATCCCCCACAGAAAGCTTTGTTGGAATCAATGGACACCAAGATATTTAACCGAAAGTCTGCCTTCTTGATACCCTAGCATATTAATTATCCTTCTCCTTCTCATAGTGGAAATACCACCCACACAAACATGACTTTTCTGCTTATTAACCTCTAGGTCTGACATTGTAGAATATGAGTTAACAATTTCCTTCAATTTTTGGCACGAGTATTCCTCTGCTTTGCAAAAAATCATAAGATCATTAGCAAACAGGAGGTGGGTTAACTTTAATCCCTTATAATGCAGATGATATTTGAACCGACCATTTATCTCCACAGACTTCATTAGCCTTGAAAGATATTCCATCCCTATAACAAACAAGTATGGGGAAAGAGGATCTCCTTGCCTCAGCCCTTTTTTGCCTTGGAAGTATCCATGTGGTATTCCATTAAAGACCAATGAAAAACTAGTAGAAGACATGCATAGCATTATGCAATTCACAAATTGACTAGGAAATTGTCAACCATTCAAAACAGATCTCAAAAAATCCCAATCTAATGAATCATAGGCCTTCTTCAAATCTAATTTCATTAGGCATTTGGCAGCTCCATCTCTATGGTATTTTCTCACAAGGTCTTGACAAATGAGGATATTTGTCATTATAGATCTATCCTTAGCAAAAGCACTTTGGTTAAAGCTAACGATCTGACTAAGCATTCCTTGCAACCTATTAGCTAAAACCTTTGCAATAACTTTATAAACAACATTACAACAGGAAATAGGTCTAAAGTTTCCCACAAAGTTTGGATTTGTTACCTTTGGGATTAGACATAAGTTGGTTGCATTTATCTGCTTCAATATCTTGGTTGAATAAAAGAAATCCTTCACTGCTATTGTCACTTATTTTCCAATTATAGACCAAGTAGTCTTAAAAAAACCAAACGAAAATCCATCTAGCCCTAGAACTTTATCTTCATCTATTGAGAAAATTGCTTGTTTTACCTCAACATCAGTAATAGGACTAACTAGTTGCCTTGCTTGTTCATCAAATACCATAGCCCTATTTCGCAACACCTCCACATTTGGTTGTCCAAGATTCTGTGTTGAAGTACCAATCAATTTTTGGTAAAAGGCTAAAAATTCCTCTTGAACATCCTCAGGCTCTGTTAATCTATTCCTTGATTCATTACATATAGATTGAACAACCATTTTTGCCCTTCTAGCTTTTAAGTTGGCATGAAAAACATAAGAGTTTTGGTCACCTTGCTTAAGCCATGTGATCTTGGCCCTCTATTGTGGCAAACAAAGTTCATATGCTAGTAACTTCCTATACTCCTCTTTATATGCCTTTTCTTGTTCTAATAATTCAGTTGATGCAACCTGCAAATTATGGAAATTGTCCAATTTGATTTTTGCAGCAGCCACCCTTTCTTCAATACCACTGTATTCAGCTCTATGGAATTCCTTGAGCCTCTTTTTCAATAGCTTTAATTTTTGGACCACCACATACATAGCACAACCTTAGACCTGAGTTTGCCACACCTCCTACATTATGTCTAGAAATCTTGGATGATTAGACCACATTTTGCAATATTTAAAAGATTGATTTAGAGGCCTACTTGGAAGACCTAGAGATAAAACACATGAGACATGGTTTGATATTCCCTCAGAAGCAAAAGTAGCTTTTGCTAATGGAAAAGTAGAAATCCATTCCAAATTAGCCATTACCCTATCCAATTTACACCATACCCTATTTTGCTCATCCTGATTATTTGACCATGTGTATAACTTTCCAAAAAATTTCACATCCTTCAAATGGAATTGTGAAAAGAAACTTTGTAACTTTGAAGTATCACCTCCCACCACAGCACCATTACGCAGCTTTTCATTATGATTTAAAAAAGTGTTCAACTCACCCATTAGTAACCAAGTAGCATCTGTACTTGCACCAATGGCACTCAAAGCTTCCCATAATCTCACCCTATCATGTGGAGCATTCCTTGCATAAACCATAGTGAGCAAAAACAAAACTCCTGTAAATATAACCTCAAAATGCATAAAATAATCCCCTTGGGAAATTACCTACATAGTAACTACATCCTTATCCCAAACCATCCATATTCTTTCATTCATAGCAGAATCATAATTATCTAAGCAATCCCAGTGAATTCTACAACTCCTAAGAATTTTAGACTTATTCCTTACTTTAACTTGAGTTTCAATGATCCCCATTAAGACTAGTTTATTTTTAACTATAAACTTCTTTAAAGAATTATGTTTAGCAGGGTCATTAAGCCCTCTAACATTCCAAAAAGCTATTTTATCCACGAGACAATATAGCAATAGACAAACTCACATTTGATTCCCTTCGGCCACCTGGGTCATCAAGCACCTTAGTTGCAGGAAGACCAGTCATCATTGCATCAAAGATAACATTGTTATCACCATCAATAGTCATTAGTGAAACATCTGCAGATACCTCTTTCACACCACTAACCTTTTCAGATGCCACGTTGTTAACCATACTCACCTGCTTTTCCATAGGAAAATTCTGATTGTTAACTTCCTTTGTAGGGACTTCTTTAGGAGGTTCCACTACAGCAACATTATGATACTCTTGGACACCAGTATTAGCTTCCTTTTCAAGAATCATTTTTTCAGGTTCAACTACAGCAACCAAATCATTAACAATTGGCACTTGTTTTCCCTCAATTCCTTTTTCTCTGTTTTTGTTCTTTTACATGTTCATGGTCATGTCCCCAAGATTTACACTCGCAATATTAGGGAATCCACTCATATTCCACACTCTACACAAACAACCCTCCTGAAGGTGTCTAACCTATGATTTCATGGGGAAAAGCACCATTGACTTTCATTTCCACCAACACTTTAACATACCCCATCATTTTCATATCAACACTAAAAGCATCTATCATAATAGGTCTTCCCAATGCACTAGCAAACTTCCCAATTTCTTTTGCTAACCACAATCGAAACTTGACTTTTGGCATATGTACCCACATAGGAACCCTAGTCAAATCTATATTATCCACATCAAAATTTGGTGTTTTTCAAGTTTCCTCTAGTGTTAAGCCTTCTTTCAAGTTTCCTTGAACCATAGTAAAAAACATTCGAGTACGAGCCATCATTGCTCTCATTGCCTCTTCTGAAGAAAAATTAAAGATGAACATACCATTCTTCAGCATATAAATTTTAGGAATTTGAATATCTTGCCAATTAATATTTGCAAATTTTACCATCTCCTTGAAAGAAGGCTTAATGCCAATAGTATAGCCCATGAGAGCGAACTGCCAATGCTTGATTCCCTCATTCCATTCATCTTTATTAAATTCAACCACCCCATCAACCACTGGGTAGTAATCTAACTTCAAACCTTTCATCCCACTATGATTACCTTGAACTACCTCTGTCCAATTCCTTTTACCTTCAACATGTTGCATCCCCTTGTCAATGATTGGAGCATTCGCCTCCTTAGAAATAGATTTCTGAGCATCCTCACTAGCCATATTTGGCCAACTTTTAGTGCTAGATGAAGAAGCCTTAGACTCAGAGTCACATTTATTCTTGTCTTCAGAAGTGGGTGTAGTCATATCAGACACTTTACCCTTTCCCTTGTCATCGTGGGGACTCACCTTTGTAGAAAAATTCTGATTTGCTACCATCACCACTCCCTCTATCTTAAACCCACCCATGGGACCTTCAGAATTACCAGGAGCAATTTTTAAATTAGCTTGATTCACCACCTCTATTGCTCCCCCCACCCCATGACCAGTTGCAGGCCCCGTATTAGCCACAAGACTAGAAGAGCCCAACTTATCACCAAGAATCTCTTCACAAATCACATTCTCAGTATCAACTTCACAACTTTGCAGCTCAATCTTTGGCACTTCATCTAAGGAAAGCCCAATTCCTTGCAGATCTAGCTTCCTCGGAGTGAGCTGCACTTATATTCCAACCTCCTGAACAATTAAATCCCTTTTCTTTGACTTTGCACTACTACCACCCTTCTTTGATCAGCCTCAGCTATTTTCTTCTGCACTTGCAGCTGGAATTAATCTCGACACACGTTAGCCAACCAGCATTTATCGTGCACCTCGAGAGCCCAAATGGAGAAGACTTATAGTTATGGACATTCAAATATTAAAGGTTTAAGTACCATTTTGGTCCCTCAACTTTCCACTTTGGCACCAAAATTGTCCCTCACCTTTAAAAAGTACCAAAATTATCCTCAGACTTTCATTTTCGATATCAAAATGGTCCTTCCGTCAGTTAAATGACAGATATCACGTTAACTTGCCAGCAAATCACTGGATTTTTTTCTTAACTAATGACATGGCACCTTTTTTTTATGAGTTGGCATTTTATTTTATTTAATTTAAAAATAATGATTTTTTTTATCCATGTCATCTCTCCTTCCTCTTTCACTTTCTCTCTCTTATCGCTTCTTCTTCCTCTCTAAATCAAACCCAGATCTGGGGTTTTCTTAAACTCAGATAACTCCTTCGATACCACTAAAATGCAACAAAAGAGAAACTAAATCACAATCTAACAATAAAACTTCCATGTCATCTCTTCTTCCTCTTTCACTTTCTCTCTCTCTTGTCCCTTCCTCT